AAAGATAGGGATTTAAGTATATAATAATAATAGTAGTAATAATGATAGTAATAACAATAACAATAGTATGTACGTAAATGGTATGCAGACGTGTCTTACTACTGGGCGCAGTCGATCAGCTGATATTCGTTGGCGCGTTCGTAGCACGCCTTCACACCGTCGTCTTCCCACAGCTTCTGAGCATGCTCAAAGAACTCCTGAGAGACAGACAGATAGTGAACTCAGGTGTAAAGCGCCCCCTGCAGGAGCCAAGTGGAGCCATGACAGTTTGGAGGCCTTACGATCTACTTCATGACAACACACAGTTTCTGACAATAACCTTACGTTAATGGATTCCCTTTGATTTCTGGACACCTCAGTGTCATTTCACACACGTCTCATAGAGAGCAGTGTCTGGAGGCCAGGTAGCTTCGCTGCAGTCACACGTGTAATGTCACTTAGTTACAGTATGTGGCCAAAAGTATTTGGACACCGTTGGGCACCAACAACATATCAATCATATATGCTACAACATTCAGTTGTCCACATACTTTTGACCAGGTAATGTATCCTGGTGAACTTCCACCGCTGTGTGATAGAGAGCATCCTCACCAGCTGCATCACTGTCTGGTATGAGAACTGCTCTGCTCTGACTGCAGGGCTGAAAACTGCCCAGCACATCACAAGGACTCCACTCACAGCCACTGAGGGCGTCTATGGGAAACGCTGGCTGCATCGAGCTCGCAGCTCCTCAGAGACTCACATCACCCCAACCACAGACTGTTCAACCTCCTGGCCTCCGGAGGGCGCTTCAGGAGCCTCCGGACTAAGACCACCAGACTCAGGAGCAGCTTTAACCCCCCTGTCCCCCCTTCACACTCCGCCCCCTCCTCACTAACCAGATATTCATGTAAATGCCATAGTTTGTATATATCTATATATATACTGTATATGCACTTCTGTTTCTTTGTACTTGTACACGCGTGATGCCCATAAGGTTGAATCTAGTTTATTTGTTCCAGACGTCACCATGTTGCATGAACATGTAACGCTGAGTCGTCCACGTACTTCTGGACGTCTGATTAATTCAGTCAGATGGTTCAGTGAAGACGTTTGAGGTAAATCCTATATCAGTCCTACTAATCACAAGCATTCAGGTGTCCACATACTTTTGGCAGGTGGTGTGTGATAAAGCATCAAGGCCTGCTGACACGTCTGCAGTCACCTGTCTTCTCTTCAGGAGACTGCCTCACTGTGACGCTGTTTGATTGGGCGGCAGTGACAGCACTTTGAAGTGTGTGAGTCTGCTCGACCAATCAGCAGCAGCGTCACAGACAGCAGCAGAAGAGTTTAGAGACGCTTGTTTTGTGCGTCTACGGTCCTCGGAGACGGAGCTGTTTGGATAATGAGGCCTCAGGTGACACACAACGAGGCGTGTTTCAGTCTCAGGTGAACTCGTTACATCATGTCATTAACATCATTAAAACAAACAAGCGTTCAGCAGGTCTCCTGGTGCCGCTTTAAAGGAACCTGTTTAGTCCCAAACTGTTCCACATCAGGTCACCTGCTAGTATGAAGCTCTGCAGGATAGCGTGAGGCCTGTGTGTGCAGGAACCACTCACTGCTCTATAAGGAACCCTGTACAGGAGAACGTCACTGGATCAGCCTCTCAGGTTCCACTGTACATCCAACAGACTCATGAGTGACACAGGAATATCCCAACTGTTGACACTTTTGTAGATTCATTTCCAGGTTTTTTCACGTTTGTGTTCGGCCCTCAAAATGTGAATCTTTGCATCTGAAGGAACCAGGATGGTACCAACAGTCATTTTGTATATTTGTGTAATTTGATTTTGTCCTGATGTTCCTACACTTTTGCATTATTGTCTTTGCTGCGGTGACAGTGCAAACGTGGGATGATTAGAACCTTGTGCTGTGTTATGGAGGTGCAGGACCTGAGCAGGCAGAAGCTGCTCTGAGCTGAGGGTTAGAGGAGAACGTGGGTTCACATCAGCCTGCAGCATTCGTAGCGTCTCTGTGTAACTTTGAGGGGATTCAGGAAAGAAACAACAAAACAGTGAGTTTTGAGGCACAAACTACAAAACCTGACGTTGACTCGACTGCTGGGAAGCTGCATCAGAGGTCTACATTCTGCTGGACCTGATCACCCAAATATTCATCCACTGGTTAGTTTCCAGGTTTAGGATGTCCTGGACACCAGTGACCCTGTGGAACCTGATGGTTCTGGCCAATCAGAACCTGCAGGGAGAGCTTTAACACCCTGGAACAGAGCAGCTAAAGATCCACCAGAAGCAGAGAGACTCTCAGCTGGAAACCAAGTGGAACCATTAAGGTGGTACCAGCTGAACTTGCTCACACACACAGCAGATCCAGATGTTGGTTCAGCAGGTACAAACACCTAAGTGACATCACAGCACACACACCTCACCTGTGTGTAAATGTGTGTGTGGTACCTCGGTGTACTCGAAGTCAGACAGCGGCGCGATGCTCCTGATGTAGTCGACTCTGAACTGGTTGCTGGGGTTACCCAGAGGGATGGGCGGAGTCAGCGTACTCATGGCAGACACGATTGTCTGAAACACACACACGCGTGCTCTGATTGGCTGTCTGGACTGTCAGTCATCAGCTGTGAACAGATGTGTGTGAACGCCTGTCCAGGTGATAGTCTGGACCATCCATTACATACTGACTGACCAATCACAGAGCGGCTGTGCCTGACGTCATGCTACAGTGAGTCATGTGACCTACCACGATGGCGTCCTTCACGTTCTTCCTGATGTCCTGAATCTTCTGCTGCTTCTCTCTGGAAAACAACACCAGAACCCTGGAACCTGCTCAAACTGGGCTTCATCAGAACAACATACAGAACCTGCAGTGGCCTCCAGCTGTGCAGCTGTACTCAGAGCAGCAAGAACAGACGGGTTCCTCTAAGAACCAGCGGTCAGAACCATTGAAGAACCTGCAAATCACTGCAGTGAAAAACAGTTTGACTCACTCAGCGTTGAAGCCGTCGACGTGAAGAATCCTCATCTGCTTTACAATAGTGCTTTTACCTGATTCCCCTGCACCTGCAGA